GGGGGGGGGGAGGGGGGGGGGGGGGAGTATGTGTAATTTTTGAAAAATGGGGAATGTCTCTTGCCATCGATCTCATCTCACAAGAGATATGCATTGTTCAAAACTTGAAACAAATGTATAACTTTTTAAAAGGACTAGGGTGTCATTAAAATTATAATAAACATAGGGGAGGCTTTCGTTATTGGACCATACTACACAAACATAACGGTTGACATACGGGATGACTGTACACTCACACCTTGGAGGTCGGGCATTATTTTATTTATGCGGGATCCATGCTCCATGTGAGGGTCGATCACCCATTCGGTCACCCATTTTCGGGCACTTCGGCATTATTCTTCGTTATTTGCCCCAAAAATAAATATGAACTCAGAAAAGAGAATAAATAAGTAAATACTAAAAACTAAAATGAACTATGATAGTTAACAAATTAAAAATAAATGAATACTTTTATAAAAAAAATAAAACAAAAATAAATCTCTTTTGACACATATTTGATTCGTAATTTGGACATCTCTATAACACGTTATAAGTTTATTCAGAACTAATATTACAGTAAAGTGATCTCGAAGCTAGTCGAACAACATGATTTCGAATATCAATAGTACTTAAGCAATTAATATTAGATAAAATAGGAAAAATAAACGTATAAACAAGATGGAGAGAACTTATGTTTGCATGTTGAACCAAATAAGGATGACGCTATTTACATTATTCGTGACGTTTCCTTCAAAATAAAATATCTTTCAGCATTATCAATATATTTATTAAATTATAGTTATTCGTGCTATATCATTCCATTTGAGAGACAATAAAAGTTGGAATATAACTTTTGTCTAATTCTTAATGATAGTGTTTCATCATCCTTTTCAAAAAAACAAACAATAACTATTCATGACTTTTTTCATAACATTATAAACTAAAAGCATTTTCGGGGTTGTTTATAATCAATTTAATAAAAATAAATGAAGAATAAATAGATATACTTGTAAATTTCGCAAAATACGTGAAATACAAATGAGTTGACTGATCATAAACATAACCAGATGCAAACGAGGGCTAATTGTTATTGTCTATTCTCTTCTTTTTAAGCTGTCAACAAGTATTCAAGTTCTGGTGAGCTATACAATGTTTGAAGAATCATAGGGGTTGTGGGTGAAATTTCCAGAAACTTCTTGGGGTAAATGATATTAACACTTCAATTGATCATTACAAAATATTTGTACGGATTATCTAAAAAGAGCAGGAGTCGCCGTTTATCAATGGTGATTCTGAACTCCTGTTCGTGTTCCAAGTTATCCACAAAACCAAACCCGAAAACTATTTTACCCATAATTTCTTCTCTCTCGCTCCCCACTCCTGGTGCTCCGCAGGTACCCCACCCTCATGAAATTTTATAGGTACAATTTCAAAAATCTTCTTATTAGATATCAGGGGCAGACCCACATGGGGTCATGTGAGGTCAGATGACCCCACAAAATTTTGGGGTATTTTTTTTTTCCCAAAAAAGGTTGTTTTAACTTGTTTTCGACCCACTTTAATACATACCAAATGAAAACGAAATATTGCATTCTTAATATCATTTTTAAGCATTCATGACCTAGTTTTTCGCTTCTTAATGGCGTGTGAACTGATCGACCATAGCAAAAGATACGATGTATTAAACTTTTGACCCCACAACCCAAAACGGCTAGGTCCGCCCCTGTCAGATATTGATATTAAATGCATTCTTTTCAGGGCCCTCAAATCCAGAATCATCTGTTTTCTTTGTGTGAATCAATCTCTAAAGCGATCATTCTTGCCGTTCTTTCTGCTTCACTTGTTTTTGCTTCAAATTCTGACCTTGCATTTAAGGTAATCAAAGTTAGATGTGAATTTTGATTGTTTAACGTATATATTCAGTTTTAAGAATTAGTTTCTTTTGTTAATGTGCATTCATTAACATTGTGAGGAAAAAACTTGAAAAGGGTGGAGCCGCGGAGGGCCATACGGTGCTGAAGTGATCAGGGGACGGGGTACCTTTTAAAGAAGCTAAGATATACCTATCATTTTTCACTTAGATCAAAATATTTTGAAGTGCACTACACTTACATAAAATAGTTTGACAGACATATTACAGATCACTCATTATTAATGGGGTGGGTGGTTATATTTTTCAATATAAAACTCATATAGGACCCACCCCATATGAGTTTTCTGGATTTATTTTGTGAGAAGAATTATGTACAATCAGAATTTCTCAAATATTTTTGTCATCATTCCTCACAATGGCCTCTTAACGTGTAAAAGGACAAAAATATCCCTATGTTACACAATTACAAAAAAAAAATGGTATTGCTTAAAAGACTATTAAACTCTTTTAAGTTACAAAGCATTTCAAACACTTCCCACTTGAAATTTCAAAATCAAATCACTTTTTTTTTTTTTTTTTTTTTTTTTTTTTTTATCTCTTTACTCTAACAGAAACAGAAACCATTTCATTTTTCATCTGTTTCAATTTTGAAATCTTATAAATTTATCAAACGCTCAGCAAAAAAATATTTTTTTCTAGCTACGCTTCGATTGGTAAGTATATTTACGTATTATTAATCTCGTTTCGTTGAATTAGTAACTGTTTTAATCGTTACAACTTATTTTTTACATAGACAGATAAATTTTTACAATCTTAGACAGATCTATAGTTTTTTAAGCAAAATCGAAAAAAATTCATATGAACAAGTCCCTATAGTCGGTCCGCCGCCTGGGCGGGCATAGCCCAACGGTGTGCGGATTCAGCCGGCCCAAACGTCTAGGTTGACTGCTTCTGGCCCATTGGATCTAGCTGGCTAGGCTAATTGTCGGTCCGGATGGCTTTTGAAGTTCTTTTTTATCTCCTAATTATATTTTTTTAACAACTATATTTCCTAATGCAGATATGAAATCAGCTGCAGTTCCAATTTATTACTTTGGCAAATTTGAAATGAACAAAAATGATAGATGGATGTGGAAATAAACGAGTGAAAGATGTGGTGCTATTGCAATTGTATTAAAATCAAGTACATCGTATGCAGAAAATGTACTATGATTTACAGAATGAGCTCAATATCAATCCCTCTTAGTACGACATGTAATTGGGATTTCTATTCAACGAGCATATGTCCATTTCAATTCCACCGGTAATGGTTACTTCCGAAACTGAGATGAAGGTTTTAATTGAATTGAACCAAAATCGCACAACTCCTATTTGCATAACTTTAGTTAAGAGGAATGTCTCCGACAATGAATAGAAGATTCCGATGGAAGGTATCATAATGTGAATAATTTTTGGGACACTGTGAAGATAATTTGTGAGGATGATGTGAGCATTTTCCAGACAGTTGTGCCTCACCATGATCTTATAGTTTAAGACAACGAGAATGAAAATGAATTTACAAATGAGGATTTGATGGCGTTATCCGGTTGGAGACATGAGTCGGGTAGGAGCTCACAGGCTAGAATGAGTACATGGTCCTCTAGTGGTTCTTTTGTAGTTCCCGATGATGAAGATTTATATATCAAGCAACCATCTGAAACAAAGAAAGATTTACAAGAAGCTGTGCATCGAATTGCTTTAAAACACGACTTTGAGTTTAAAGTAAAGAAATCAAACAAGTCAATGTACACAGTTATCTACATTGATAACAGTTGCCGTTGGCATTTGCGAGCGATGAAGACGGATATGAATGAATTCTTTATAGTTCGTAAGTATGCACGGGAATATACGTGTAG